GCCCCCCCCCCCCCCCGTCTCTTTTGCTGAGAAAATGCCAATTCACTTTAGGGACTCAGGGCCTTGATACTATCATCAGGCATTCACTTTCTGAGAGGAGGAGAAGTTTTGCTGCTAAATATAAGAAAGGGCATTTGGGATTTGGCTTCTTGGGGGGCATCTAGATGAGGAGAAGGGTGAATGTTGTGTGAAAGGAGAAGAGAGATTACTCCCAAAGTTATCAACTCTAAGGGAAATTTTTGAGGTAGAATAAGAAAGGATAAAGGTAAGTTTTAAGGTGTTCTCTACAGGATAATTGGCATAAACTACTTCCCACCTCACCCCTCATCTGTCCCATGAAATCTTCTAATTTCTTTGGGAAAAGAGATAAGCGCTATGTCAGTGATGGCGAACCTGACACGTGTGTCAGAGGTGACACGCGAATTCATTTTTTGGTTGATTTTTCTTTGTTAAATGGCATTTAAATATATAAAATAAATATCAAAAATATAAATCTCTGTTTTACTATGGTTGCAAATATCAAAAAATTTCTATATGTGACATGGCACCAGAGTTAAGTTAGGGTTTTTCAAAATGCTGACATGCCTAGCTCAAAAGGTTTGCCATCACTGCTCTATGTTTATGTTGGTGACCAAAATGCTTTAATGATTCAGGAACTAGTGCTCAGGAGGAAAGCAGTTGTCTGGGTCACATTTTAGGGCTATCTGAATGTTTACTTTTTGCACAACACACCCAATTGGCTGCAGTTTATCTGATTCAGTTAAGATTGCTAAACTGGTCAATGGGCTATTGCTCAACCACACTAGCTGTCATTCTGCAACACAGTTAAGAGAGAGGAATTAAGAGTCAGCCAATAATAAAAATCCAACTTTCTACATATGAAGCATTTCGTATATGCTTTTTCTTGTAAATTGGTAAGTGTGTTAGTTTACTAGGGCTGCCATAATGAATACCACAGACTAAATGGTTTACACAATAGGAGTTTATTTTCTCACAGTTATGGAGCCTGGTCTGAGATCAGGGTTGATCAGAGTTGATTTCATTCTGTGGGTTCTCTCCTTGGCTTGAAGATGGAGTATTCTCCCTTTCCATGACACAATATTTCCTCCATTTGTGTTTCCCTGTCCCCATCTCCTCTTCTCATAAGGACTATTGGATTAGGGTCCACTTATATGACTTAAGTTTACCTTAATTACCTCTTTAAAGGCCTATCTTCAGATATAGTCACATTCTGAGCTAGTAGGGGTTAGGGCTAGGAATATATGAATATAGAGGGGATATAATTCTGACTATAACAGTAAGATATCTGTAGTTTGGGGAAACTTTCTACACACACACACACACACACACACACACACACACATGCTCTCTGTATCAGAACACACACATGTTTTTAGCTGCTACACAAAACCACACATGCATCATAGTGAAGCTTGAATGAGTTCTGCCATCACCGGAGACATGGTGGCAGGGGTTATGCAGTAAATTCTACCTAGTACAGTATGATGTAGCCCACCAGGAATGTTCCCTGCTTTGCAGCATTATTTACAATCACATTGGGGCCGCTTTCCTCATGTCTGTAAACTTCAAATAGTATTACTTTAAGTCATACCGTACTTGTGAAACTCAGACCTGACTTTGTCTCCTATAAGAGCCAATGCTGTTATGTTTCAACTAGTTGCTGGTTTTAGGGCTTCTATAATTGCTCAACAGGACACTTCTAATCTCTATCCAGGAAATTAGCAAGTCCTTTAAATATCTCCAGCCTATCCACCTTGCTTTTCCTAGAAACCCATGAATGTGTTGTTGTTGTTGTTTTTCATCCGCAGGATGGAAACACTAGTAAGTAGTTGTCATCTTCCATGGTTACTGAGAGGGTTAAATAAAATTGCACATGTAGTGATAATATTGAGGTTTCCGTGTGCCACTAGTCACTGTGCTAAAACAGAGACATGTTTTTCTTCCATTCCTGAATCCACCTAAAGCTATTAAACAATTCATCAAAGCAGAGTTTTATTTTACTCACAGATGTTTAAACTACCCTGAATGAAGATTTTGACATTAGTGCTCTTGAGCATTGGAGTGATACTAAGTATAGATGAACCCCTTCATAGTTATTGGCATTTGTAAAACATTTGAAAGTGGGTAGTTTTCCATGATGTGCTGAGAGAAATGATGACAATTTCCCCCAATGTAACACAAAAGCTTTTGGAGGTCTCTTTAGTTTCACTGTATCAAAAAAGACTTATTTTATTTCAGTGTCTTTGAGGATATTCCAAACCCAAAACCTATGGATAAGAACAATTTGCATTGAACAGAGCCCCAAGTAGGCTAAAGGAATGCTCAAAAACACACAACTCACCAAGCGAAAACAAGCATCAAAGGTGGACTATCTGTCCAGTATCCAAGTAACTGCTGTGCTCTGAGTTCAGGTGAAGTGAGTAAAGATGTTTCCATTACGCTTGTCAACGTAGAAAAAGAGTCCTGATATCATGTTCCTCTCTTTAGGCAAAGAACAGTGTGCTTCTTTCATATGCTCATAATGAGGTTTACTTTTTATGCCTTAAGAGTTAAAATTTTCAGAGTTAAAATTTTCTGTTCAAAAGTGGTGGGTAGCTTTAGGCAAGGGTTCTGGTTGAATTATATTTTCCTTCTGCACTATTACATGGTTCTTGATCTAATGTCCTTCTTTAAATGGTTAGCATTTACTTTATGGTTAGTCACCTCAGATCTTCTGGAAGTAGATATTACCTGTTCATTGATTTAGTCACACAACCACCCAAGAGATATTTATGAGTGTTAATTATGTACTAGGCACTGTGCTGTTTGAGAAACCAGAGGTAAATAAGATGATTTGCCTTTATTTCCATGATTCTCAAAGCCCATTAGAAATGATAAATATTAAATAATTTTACAAGTAATTTTTTTAATTACTAAAAGGAGAAGCATGGCTCCTAAGAGAATGTGAAATAGGAATAGGAGGTGCGGGAATACATGGCCCTCTCATGCACATTTTGTAAAAAGGCTTCCTAGCACTCTGTGAATCTGAGTTGAAGATATTAACAACCTTTTTGACTGATATGTAGAGACAGAGACTGATGGAGATGCTTTACATATAAAAAATTGGGCCCTCATCATTATTTGTCATTTTAAAAAATTCATCCATATTTAGCTCATGATCATCTTCAACAAATATTATCTTCACAATCCCAAAACCACAATATATTCTCTAAAAAAATTTACTTGGCATACATTTTCTCAACATCTGGGTTTTGTTGTCATTATCACTTTTCTCCCTATCTCTGCTGATAACAGAGAATGAATTGTAAGTTCCCAGAGGAGTGTTCCACATCATTCTACATTGTTTTGCAGCATATAATGCACCCAGTTTGCAAGCCTGTTTTACATAGGCATTTTGATTATTTTATTTTGAGATAATTTTTCTTGACCACTAAGTCTTTGGAAACTTTGTGGACAGAATTCACAGCCAAGTCTGTGTATTAACAGATGCATATGAGAAATTGTCCAAGAATTTAGAAGTGTAAAATCTCAGAGTTGGAAGGACTGAACACATTATCAAGGCCTACCAATCATTTGTAGATGGGGAAATTGTGACTAGGTAGGAGGAAGGATATACCTAAGTGATATTTCTTTTAGTATATTGCTTCTATATTTTTTCTTGGTAGGCTCCAAGTTCATCATCACTTGTGGTAATTTTTACCCTAATTGCTGAACTAACAAAGGGCCAAAGAAAGCTGTACTTAACTGTAGTATTTAACTTCTTTTCAGAGAAGTCCTGTCTCTTTATTCATAGAAAACCAGCATGTAATAGATGGAGTAGGAATGTAAAAACTGGAGGTTTGTACCAAGAAATATATATCTAGAAAAAGCCCAAGAAATCATGTTATTAATGTTTTGGTTTCATCTGGATACACATGGTTAGAGCACAATTTATGTGGAGTAAATAAAATGTGACATTATTTGTTTTGAGGAAGAATGTGTCCTCCAAACCCAAGGCAGTGAACTGATTATTTATTTAAACACACACACACACACACCTATTTAGTCTAACTGAGGAACCTGCTGTTTCTCCCTATCCTGTGCAAAATTGCTTTTTAAATGTAACCTAATGGAGAATTTCATTGTTTTGTATAAAGATTTTCTCTGACCTTTTGTCTAACAGGAAGTCAAGGTCATGAAATGTTTGCATCTTCCAGAACCTACTCTGAGAATAACTTAAGCTTCTGAGACACAATGGCTTTCTAAGATGTCCTTCTAAGTAGCTGTGCCATTTTTCAGTTGAAAGGAAAAAAAAAATAGGCTACCATGATATGAAATTTGCCCCAAGCTGTTTATTTTGATGAATGCTTTAGAGCAGTGGTTCTGAAAGCTACATGAACATTAAATAATATAGGGAGCCTTTAAAGTAATTCAAGTTCACGTATATTCTGATTCAATTAGTCACCAGTAAGGTAGGGTCAGAATTACAGAGGACATAAGCTTTGTGCGCCTTCTTAGCTTTCCTTGCTTTCTTCCATCTAGTCTGAAGGCTCTTGCCTCTTTGACCATGTTCCACTCTTCTATTTTTGTTAGACCCTTGCTGAACACCTACCACCACTGCCATCACCACCTCTTTAATTCCAACGCCCCTGAGTTGGCTAGAGTTCAAGGTAAAACCCCAAAAAGCAAGAATTGCATGACCCATTTGCTGAACTCTAGTTATATCAAATCACCTCTCTTTTTATGTAGATTTGGATAAAATGCCATACATCAGGGCATGGGATCTGATTTTTTGAGAGTAGCAGGATTCCTAGATGATATTTCAGAAGCAATTCACCATTAGGTAAAACTTGACTAATTAAAACGGGAGATAGGAGGGAACTGAGTAGATAAATCCACTCTTCTATGGACTGCTCCAACATGTGGCTTCTCCTTCCATATCTGGAGAAATCCTGACAAGCAACTGCTTTGTCTCTGCAATACTTTTTGTAAAGTGCTGGCCATCATAATGTAACATTACTCTACATCTTCCATTGCCTACTTATCTCTTCACTATCATTGTCCTGGGCTTGTACCACCCAAATAAAGTGTCAAGTATTTTAATACTTGCTTCAGTCTTTGCTTTCTATAGAATTTTAATACAGATTTTTTTTTTCAATTTCCCCATTCTACCATATAGCTAGAATTGAAAAATACTCCTCTGAGGAAGACCTGAACTCCCACCCTTTCAAGAATATCACATAGCAATAAGGTTTTTCCTAATGTTGCTTCCTTTTATTAAATTTTCAAAACAAGTGTAGAATACAAGACTTTCTTTATCATTTTTCCCTATTATTCCCTATCCATTCACATTTTCAAAGTCCCATATTAACTACTATAAACAGTTTGATGTCCTGTCTGGTTGAAGTGTATTTTATACATAGGCGTAATGGAGTTCCAAGGTTCTTTTATTTGTTTAATTAATTTTAAGTATATTTTTATTGATTTCGGGGAGAGATAGAAACATTAATAATGAGAGAGAATCATTGATTGGCTGCCTCCTGCATGCCCCTGCTGGGGATTGAGCCTGAAACCTGGCATGTGACCTCCTGGTTCATATAGGTTGATGCTCAATCACTGAGCCACACTGGCTGGGCCTTTTATTTTTTGCATGAACTTGATCATCTATCCATATTGTTCTATAGTGGATTTTGACATTTAACAATATTTCTAAGAGATTGTCATAATACAAAGGGATTCTTTATTCTTTTGAGTTGTGGTATAGTATTTCATAATGTGGGTATATAAAATAACTTTTCTTTACCCTTATTAAGAGGAGTTATGATTGCTCACAATTTTTTGACTTAAAAAACAATGCTGAATTGAGCATCCTTGAGTGTGTATCTTTGTGCACATATTAATATAATTCTCAAAGACAGCTAGAATTAGAACTGTTGAGTTGAAAGGCATGGTCACAATAAATTTTGATATATACTTCTAAAATACCCTGTTAAAATGGTGTCCCAATTTATATGTCACACCAAGAGTGTATGAGAATTACTATTTCTTTTCACCTTTGCCAATGCTGTCTATTATCAGTTTTAAAAATTGTCAATTTGGGAAAATAGTGATACCCCATGGTTTTTTTTTAAAGTTATTAAACATTATGTTTAATCTTTATTTTAAGTCTTTTTGGCTTTGCATCTCCAGTTTGGAAATTTTTATTAAATATTATTAGAACAGGATGTGAGTTCAGTGAGGTTGCTGAGGAGTTGGCCATTCTTTATAACAATAGTCTTTAAGGCAGGTCTGATTACTTCACACTCTCTATTACATTGAGTCTCAGAATTTAGAGGGCTGAGCCATCCCAGCCCCCTTCTCTGAGAGGAACCAGACCTGGGCACGAGACAAGAAGATTGAAAAGGCTTTCTAATATTTGAGTTGCTGGAAGAAGCATTCACACCTGCTTAGCCTGTTCTCCAAATCCCCGGTTGATTCTATCTCTACCCTGCCAGTTTGAACAGAGGCAGAGCATGCGGAGAACTATCCCCAAAGACAGACCAACATGCTCTGCCAGGGAGTCTGCGTCCAGAGAAGCTGGGCCAAGATTTTTTGGCAAACGAACTTTAAGCAAGGCTGAAGTTGCCTTGCCAATGTGAAACAGCCCAGCTCCTCAGTATGATTGGAAGATGGTTGTAGTATGGATAGGGAAAGTATGGTGAAAATGAGGGTATGACCAGATGTGGGCTCTATCCGCCAAGCTAGCCCTGTATCTCTACTCCTTGTGTAGATAGTTAATATTTTTGTACATTACCTTTTCCTTGGAATAAAAAAAAAAAAGAGTCATGATCCCTACTGATGGGTGTTCCTAATCTGGTAAAGAGACATGGTCCTCACTCTTAAAGTTACCCAAAACTACTAAGAAAATGGGTTTTGTTATGTCTAGTTGGAGTTTATAATATTATTGATGAGATGAAATATCTCCACATGACTCAAGAACATTTCAAAAAGCAATGCATAATAAATTTAATGTAAGCACATCAGCACAGAAGGGAACAATAGGAGTGGTTAATTTGGATACAGTTCTAAGAGGCAATGTTTAACATTTAGGAGTTCAGAAATTTGGCTCATTTCCATTCTTTCCACTTAATTTTTCCATCCTTGCTTATCCCCAGGTATCTCTTTCAAATTGGCCAAAGATGGAAAGTTAGTGCCCCAGACTGGCTCTGCTTCCCAATCCATCCTTTCAGAGAGAAGGACCAGATCCTGTTCATTGCGATAGCTTTTAGTTTAGATTATATATCTCTCCCACCTCTGACAGGTCCTTTTATATGTGGGATTCAATTTAATTCAACATATGTATGGAGAAGCTCTTTAGTGTCATGAGTTATGCTGGTTGTTAGAAAAACAGCAATGACAAAAACATAATCTCTGCTAACAATTTAAGGAGACAGGAACACAA